CAATTTGACGCCCGCAATGTCATCAAATGAGCGGTCAGTGGTTTTACTTGGCCCAGTCCTCGCTCTTTTTCCGGGTTGCCCCGTTTGGGCATCTTTCAAAATGGCGGGCCGCCACAGTATTGTGGAGTATTTCGGCGATTCTGGAGGTCACCGTTGTGGCTATTGTAAAAGTAGTAGCACCAACCAATCGCATGGTAAATAGCCATTGGTAAATTCCTTTTGAAGTTGGTAAAGTTAGTTTGTACAAAGATTTGGATGAGTTTATATAATGCGGATGTTTCCGACATGATCAACACCCCTTTCGTTTTTATTAGCCCCAAAGTCGATTAGCTTCTAACCGTTTGGCCCCACGACCAGAAGTCGAAAACACTGTCTGTTTCTCGTTCTTTGAGGGTGAATATGGGGGCTAATCGACCTCTTGTTAGGGGCTAACCGGCTTGGGGCTAATCGACTTGGGGACTGAACGACCGGTAACCCTGCTCCCTAAACCGTAATAATTTTAAATGGGAGTCTGGTTTACAGAAATAATATGAACGTAACTTTAATACTGTTGTTTAAGCTTTTGATATTTTGCTTTAATTTTTGTTCAAAGGCATGTGGGCACATACCATGACTTGCTTGGACTATCAAGACCTTTTTGACAGAGGGTGGAGAAGGTTTGTGAAAAAAAAAAAAACATTAACCCCCCCCCCCCCCCTCCCGTCCCTTCCTCTTTGAGTAGCATTTTTTTGGTCACTTCTATAAATGAATCATTTGCTTGAGGAATACAGCAAATGAACAATACAATACATTATNCCCCCCCCCCCTCCCGTCGAACAAAAAAAGCATTGACCCCCAAAAGCACAAATTGACCATTGACCAATAGGCTGCATTTGTTTATTCAGCTTGACAGTGATGCCTAGAAGGTGAAAATGATTTATAGGCATTCAGTCTCCTTTGTTTGTATTGTCACTGAATTTTAGCATATCAAAAGGAGCCTGAATGAAATCTGATGCAAGATTAGCCCAATGATTGATGGACCCTTTGCAATAAACCTAAACCTAAACTTGTTAATCATTAGTAAGTTGTAGCTATAAAGGGGTGACAGAAACAGAGTGATGTTAGGAAGCATACTAACTTCACAATTATTTATTATTTATAGAGTCACCCATTTTAAGCTACATTGTACGATACAAGGTCAAACCATGATATCAAGGGTTGTGCCGAGTGTAGAACCATTGTATTCCATGCCAAAAACAAGCAATCAAACCTACTATGGAAACACACTTTGCTGTAATAATTATTTAGCCTATTTCTTCAAATTATAATCGTTGTTGCTATATCATATAAATTTGTCTATTTTGTTTGTTTGTTAATTTCAGGAGTGGTAAATATGTGTACAAGCCAACTATGAAAACAACATGTTGTCCAGCCTACACAATCAAGTATGTTTTAGATATCTAATATATCAAACATTTGGCTGGTAAACTCAATCAAGGAAGACCAGATGGCCTGATTGGAAGCACATTGAGCTCTGGATCAAGCCATCCAGGCTTGGGCACTGCCTGGCCACCTTTTCTTGTAATGAG